ATATAAATATATGAAAAATGCATGTGGGTATTCAAATGAAAGCTTTTGACGAGTGTAACATCGGGATGAGCTTATATCTTTAAAAATGTCACTAGTTAAGAAAGTACAGGGCATTTTAACAAATATATTGTGAAATATTGACATTTTTAAAGATATAAGCTCATTCCTACATTACACTCACCAAGACCTTTCATTTGAATACCCACATCGCTTTTTCATATATTTTATATATTTATATATATATATATATATTATATATATGTAGATATGAAAAATATATCAAAAATGCATGTGGGTACTCAAATGAAAGCTCTTGATAAATGTAACATCATAATGAGCTTATGTCTTTAAAAAGGTCAATATTTAAAAAAATACAGTGCAATTTAACAAAAGTAATTATTTAATAAATCAAAATTTCATTTATTTATAGTTCACAACCCACGGCAGTCACATAGTGACTGCAAGATTGGTAGTTAATATTATTATTATTATTATTATTATTATTATTATCATTATTATTATAGACCAATTAAATTGTTTTTGCATCCTCTACAAGGTTTTTAGGCCAAAGGATTGATTTTTTTTTAGAAATTAAAAATTTTTCCTTCACACTAGTGTTAAAAATAATCTCTCAAAAAATTTTATACAAAATAAATAAACTTACCTCGATTTTCTCAAGACTTGAGTCACTAGGACTGCGTTCCATAACAGAAGACGCAGTCATCAATTTAAACCGTCCCTTCATAGTTTCGAACTCGTTTTTATGCTCAGCTTGCAATTTATCAGTAGCTTCTTTAATCAATTTCGACTGATCGGCGCGAGTCTTAGCCAAAGTATCCTCCAACTCGCGAATATTCTTACGACACTCTTCAAGCTGGATCATAAGAGCGTTTTTTTCAATCAAACTCGCCTCCCGAGCCCTAGCTAGCGCGTTCTCCTTGTCCATCCTGGCCTGCTCGAGCGCCTCGTTCAATTGACTCTGGTAACGCGTTTGCAAATTGCACATTTCTTCCTGTTGACTGTTGTCCAATTTTTGACGCATCAGCTGGGCCCTCAGCTCAGTAAATTCGGTGTCTTTCGCTTCAATAGACGCCTCCAAATTACGTATTTCGTCGTCGCGGGCTTGGATCAATTTTTTAGCGTCCGCTAATTCCAATTCATGATCCACTGTTAATTCTTGCTCACGTTCACGTAATATACGTTCACATTCACGTGAGTGTAGAATTAATGCTTCGTTCATTCGCTCGCTTACATCAATTATTCCGTTTTTATCCGTGTTTACTTTTTCACGTAATAAATTTAATTCGCTCTTGAAGGCCGATATTGCCTCGTTCATTGCTAATTTTAGGGTACGTAATATTGTACGTAAACGTTCTACTTCACTGCGTGTGTTTCCCAAATTTTCCTGTTGACATACAAATATTAAAAAAAATTAAAATTAATTTTTTATTTAGTTTTGGGTGTTTAATTTTTATTAAAGTGTAAAATTGTGTTATTTTTTTTTTTTAATAAATAAATTTTTAACGATTAAAATTTTTTTTGTTGGGAAAAAAATTGTGTAAAATTTTTTAACACTAAAATCTATTGAACTTTTTTTTTTTACGCTATATGTTTAAATAAAAAATGAGTAACCTTTTGATGTTACACTCATCAAGGGCTTTCATTTGAATACCCACATGCATTTTTGATATATTTTTCATATATACATATATATATATAAATATATAAAATATATGAAAAATTGATTTCGGTACTCAAATGAAAGGTCTTAATGAGTGTAATGTCAAGATGAACTTATATCTTAAAAAATGTCAATAATTCACAAGATAAAAGGTAATTTCTTAATTATTGACATTTTTAAAGATATAAACTCATTTTGATGTTACACTCGTCGAGACCTTTCATTTGAGTATCTACATGCATTTTTTATATATTTTTCATATATACATATATATAATATATAGAAATATATAAAATATATGAAAAATTGATGCGGGTACTCAAATGAAAGGTCTCGATGAGTGTAACATCGGGATGAGCTTATATCTTTACAAATGTCAGTAGTTCACAAGATACAAGGTCATTTTCTAATTATGCATCTAGAGATAAAAAATTAACACAATTTTCAAAAATTTAATGAAAAAAGTTTTTTCTAACTTAATATTAAAAAATTAACACTGAATAATTTTTTTTAAATTGTGAATGTTAATAATTTTTACAATTTTTAAAAAGTTGCCCCAATATTAAATGAATTATGTAAAAATTAACACTTAGAAAATTTGAATCCCTCATGAATGTTAATTTTAATATTTTAAATATTAAAAAAAAAAAAAATGAGTGTATTGAGTGTGTGTTAGTATTTTTAAAAATACGTGGTATATAAAATCGATCGAAATAAGGAAGGACAAGGACTTATAGTGCGACGGCGTCGGCTACCCTGGAAATAATTAAAACTTATAAATTAAAATTAGATGAAAAAGAGTAAATAGTTATCCATGCAATTTAAATAGTAGAAGCGAAGTAAAATGAAAAATTATCAACAGATGAATGATTGGATGAGGAAGCATTGAAGTAAAAAAAAAAACTATTCGGTAGAAATAAAAGTAAATGGAGGTAGTGGAACGTTTACGGCTACGACTACTGATAAAGTGGTTGTGAGCTGTAAATTCGTCCAGTACCTGAAGAAGAGAAACAATAGCATGTCCTGCGTCATTTGGATGCTCACTCAGGCTGCTGGGCAGGGATTCATCGATATAGAATTCCGTATTTATAAAATCATTATTGATACTTGGATCAGCAAATGGACTACTTCCACCACTGTCTATTTGTCTACATATCTGGACTTGCTGCTGATCCTGTTGCACTTGCAGTAATTGTTGTTGGCCGTCGCACGTCACTGGACGTACTGAGGACGTCGGGATTGGGCAAGGAGGTGTTGAGGAATTTTTAAGCTCTTGGGATGATGAGTAATTGTTAGTTGTTTGGAACCGAGCTACCGATTTTTTATTACGATCTAGAGAGTTTGATGAAGTTGAGGAGCTTGAGGAGGATGATGATGATGATTTGATATGGTTTAAGTCGATTAGACGCGATGATTTATTTGCTGATGTGGATATGTTTGTTGACAGTGATAAGGACATTGCGGGAGATATGGAGGATTGCGAACAACCAACCTCCAATTGTTTGTTCGGCATCATTAATTTTTTCTCGTACGTATTTACTCTTTCTTGCTGTTGTTTTGATGATGATGAATTTGAATCGCTCACATTTTGCTGGCTTATTTTCTCAAATTCGTCTGTATCTGTTTCTGATTCAAAGCCAACTCTGAAACAAAAGTAATGATTAATTATGGGCTAAAAAATTTTAATTTTGCTTTATTAGATAATGAATTTTGTTAAATTGCACTGTAATTTTTTTAATTTTTATGTTTTTAAAGATATAAGCTCATCCTGATGTTACACTCGTCAAGTGCTTTCATTTGAGTACCCACATGCAATTTTGATATATTTTTCATATATACATATATATAATATATATAAATATATAAAATATATGAAAAATTGATGTGGGTACTCAAATGAAAGGTCTCGATGAGTGTAACATCAGGATGAGTTTATACTTTTAAAAATGTCATTAATTCAAAAGACACAAGGTCACTTATTAATTATTGAGGTTTTTAAAAATATAAGCTCATCTTGATGATACACTCATCAAGACCTTTCATTTGAGTACCGACATGCATTTTTGATATATTTTTCATATATTACATAATATATATAAATATATAAAATATATGAAAAATTGATGTGGGTATTCAAATGAAAGATCTTGATGAGTATAACATCAGGATGAGCTTATATCTTAAAAAATGTACTTATTCTCTTAATAATTATGTAACACATTAAAATTTTTAATAAATTCAAAATTAATTAAAGTGAGTAAAATAACACTTGTTAAAAAAAATTTCCATTCTTAATTAATAACAAAATATCTAATCAAAAATATTTATTAAAATTAATCTTAATAAAATATTTTTCTTCTCAAATAAATCAACTACAAAAACATAATTATCAGCACTTGATAATTATCGTAATCAAAATTCGAAATAATAATATCAAAATTAAAATTTAAAAAGAGTTATTAATTTTTTTATCAATCAAGGTAATCACATATTGATAATAACTGTCTACAAAAATACAAAGATCTATTTTTCATCCGTCAATCGATCGGTGGACGATAATTCCAGATTTAATATAAATATAAATTTATTTTATCTCTGACCGATTAAACTTTTCTAATAAATTTTAATTTATTTAATAATTAAATTTTTTTTTTCTAAATTCACCTGTGAGAAATTCGGTCACTTGGTTCCTTGGTAGCCGACACATCGACAGGCATTGAAGTTGTACTATCGTCTTCTTTAATTATTTTGTTAATATTATTTTCTTCGCTGCTAGTTACCGACGTGAGACTCTTGGAGAGGAAAAATTGCGTGATGCTATTTAAATCAGGCGTTGAAATGGAATCCGTGAGATCGGGTAATTGAATTTTTAGAGATTCCATATCGTCCGCAGTCAGCTGTGTAACAAATTAACAGTTAATAATATAATTTAATAACAATAATTTGTTCTTTCTCCATTGTGTATATTACTTTCCATTTCTCGGTAAAACATTTCTCTTTTATTAAATAAATATTTATTTAACATTCAAATCAATTTATCGTCTTTCGATTATTTAAACAAGTCAATTATATTATTTTAAATTGACATTGCAAGCCTCAAAATAAATTTTAAAAATTTTTTAAATTTTTAAAATTTTGACCTTTGAAAAAAAATTAATTATTTTTAAAGTTTTGACAAAAAATTATTAAAGATTTTTTTTTAATCATGAAAAATAATGACTTGAATTTAAAAATTACCTTAGGCAATCCATTATCGAATACAGTTGGCGCTTGAGTAGCAAAACTAGGTGGAACATCCTCCAAACCCGGAAATAGGCTGTTCAAAAAATGCCCATCGAATTTACTCTGAAATTCTCTACGTCTAGCAATTTCCTCATTGTGTACTGTTAATAATTGACAAGCGAGATTACTCGCCCACACCAAAAATGCTTGCGAAAACGTACGTCTTCTAACAACTTCGCTGACAGCACTAACATACATCTGGGGTGCCAAATGTATTTGCAGAAGTACCTCCAAATGACGACGTAATCGCTTTAAATTTTCGTGGTACATCACCAGTTTTCCGTTCACTTCCATCATCTTGTTCTCTACATACATTATCCATTTTAGCCGTTGATATATATTTACTGATAACTCCTCTTTAGCTCGAGTACATCTGTAACAAAAAAATTATTTTATTACTCACTATTTTTTCTAAAACATTAAATTACATAATATTTACACTAAAAACCGGATATTTATGACGTAGGTCAATAAAACTTGAATTATTTCTATAAATAATTATAATATCAATATTATTTTATAGTTTCCGTTAGAAAAATACGATTATTTCATTTTAATTTACTACTTTATTTATAATAATATATAAATATTTATCATGCTTAAAATAGTCATTGAACTTTTTTAAATATTAGTCTTGATTTTTCATTCGGGTCAATATTCATTTAATTTAAAGACTTAAATTTTACTCTTGTTATTTTTATTTTTAAATTTATCAAAATAATTCAATTTTTAATAAAAAGAAAATAACTGTTTAAAAATAAATAAAATTTTGCTTTATTAAATAATGAATTTTGTTAAATTGCAATGTACTTTCTTAAATATTGTCATTTTTTAAGATATAAGCTCATCCTGATGTTACTCTTATCAAGAGCTTTCATTTGAGTACCCACATGCATTTTTGATATATTTATATATATAATATATATAAATATATAAAATATATGAAAAATTTATGTCGGTACTCAAATGAAAAGTCTTGATAAGTGTAATCTCGGGATGAGCTTATATCTTTAAAAATGTCAATATTTCTCAAGATACAATGTAATTTCTTAATTATTGACATTTTTCATGATATAAGCACATTTCTATGTTACACTCATCAAGAGCTTTCATTTGAGTACCCACACGCATTTTGATATATTTTTTATATATTCATATATA